AGAGGGAAGAATGCCCCCCCTCCCCTGTCCGCAGGCACCGTGCGGGCATGGGAGGAAGAGAGGACCTGGGAGCTCACCCTGCAGCTCCTCTGGGTCCTTCTTGCGCGAGCACAGAGCGTTGCCGCGGTTACCATGGCAACGTTACTGCTCTTGCGAGAGTCAACTCTAGCCCTGGAGCTACGGGCTAGAGTTCACTCTCAACACTGTAACCCCATGGATTCCTGGTGGTCGCAGTGGTGAGAGTGAACTCTAGCCCCATAAACACACTGCCCCCACACACACCATACACATTCACACACTGCCCCCATACACACCATACACATTTACACACATTGCCTCACACACACACATACACTGCCCACCCATATACACACAGACCCCCATACACAGCCCCCCATACTAACATTGCCACACACATACACTGCCCACACACCCTACACATTCACACACTACACCCCCACACACACACTGAACCTTTCACACACATTGCACCACTGCTCCTATTCCCTACTACAGCCTCATATCCCAGCAGACCCCAGGTAAGTTGTCAAACTGTTCTTAAACAGTTTGACTACTTACTCTGGAGCAGTAGTGGTTATTGTGCATGGATTATTTCTTTAAATAATCTACAAGTGCCCCAGTAGCCAGCCAGCCAACCCACAGGCTGGCCAGTAGCCAGCCCACAGGCCAGCCCACAGGCCTACAGCAAGCCACAGGCTTACAGCCAGCAAGCCACAGCCTGCCAGCCGCAGCCTGCCAGGCGCAGTCAGCAAGCCCACAGCCTGCCAGGCAGCAGTCAGCAAGCCCACAGCCTGCCGGCAGTAGCCAGCAAGCCCACAGCCTGCCAGCCGCAGCCAGCAAGCCCACAGACTGCCAGCCAGCAACAGTAATTAAGGTAAGAGGAGCCAACTTGGCTTAGGTATCAGCGAGCTATGTTGTGTTGCTATATTGTGAATAGGAAGAGAGCTGGAGAGACCACCCTCCAGGCCCCATTAGACTCTAGCCTCTGCTAGAAATCCCCTCCATGGCCCATTAGCCATCAATTGTAGTTTCTACTTGGGCCTGGAGGCGACTGTTTCCAGCAGGGGATATCTAATGGACGCTGAGATGGCCTCTGTTAGAAAGACCCCCTTCCAAGCCTTTTAGACTCCATTGTAGTCTCTAATGGGGCTTGGAGGGGATTCTTTCTAACACACTCTCTAAAGGACACTGAGATAGCCTCCGCTAGAAAGACCCCCCTCCATGGCCCATTAGCCCTCAATTGTAGTCTCTACTGGGGCCTCGAAGGGCTTATTGCCCTTTTGTTCCTTGTGTCTAAAGATTGTGTAGGGTGTGGCTGGAGGCGGGACAAGGGTGGCGCTTGCTGCAGAGTATGGGTGGGGCCTGTAAGGGGGCCCTTGATTTATTTTGCCCGAGGGCCCTGAGGGTTCTCAGTCCGCCCCTGGACAGTCCCCATGCAAGGGACACCCCCCACCCCAATACACACAATTGCATTGGCTCTCAGGTCCAGGACACTCTCATACAAAACAAGACCATCTCTCCCCTATGCCTGGGTGATAATTGAGCCAGGAACTGAACAAACTCAATTATCTCCAGGCACAAAAAAACACAACTTTTAACAACACCCCAAAAATACCCCCAAAACCCATGAAAACCCCACAAAGGTTACATCCCCTGATAGCCCTGATGTGGGTGACCAACATGTCCAAAAATCACTTGGATCGGTTCAGGGGTTCGGGATTTCCATGGAAATCATAATTTTGACCGACTGTGCACATGGTCCTATGCCCCAAACAGTTCCAGGGAATCAGGGCTAGCGGTCTGTCTCTCTGTCTGGAGTACAAAAGTACATAACTCACATGAACAGAGCCTTTTAAAGTGCATTGGGCTAGGTATATTGCAGGGCCTATAGTCCTGAGGCAAGCAGCTGGCCAGCAGGCCCCTCCAAGAACGCGTGACGAGGTTCAGTTCGTCATACTCATAAAACATGCAATGTACTATAACCAATACAGTGCACTATTACCGGGGATTATTTATTTTATTTATTTATAAAATATTTTACCTGGAAAGATACATTGAGATGTCTCTTGTTTTCAAGTATGTCCTGGGTCCACAAAGCATTGCATTGATACAATAGGGTACAATAAAACACAAAAACAATATCAATACACAATATATACAAAATTTAACATAGAACAGGCAGGAAATATATAATTAACCATGACCGGTGCATTCTGTTTTGAGGTATGTAGAGAGGGATCTCTGAAAGGACTTTAGGCTTAGGGAAGATTTGAAAGTGTGCGGGAAGATCTGCCAGGTGCTGCTCCCTGCCCTTCCCCTTCTGGTCCTGAGAGCAGAAGCTCCTGCAATATGGCTTATGTCAGGGCTTGACAAATTTGTTTGGAATATAGGAGCCTGCTAAAAAAGTTAGGAGCCAGTCATTTTCAAAGAGAAAGTGCAATTCTTAAAGGGACACTATAGTCACCAGAACCACTACAGCTTGATGTAGTTCACCTCATGTCTATAGCCTGTCCCTGCAGGCGTTTCAGTGTAAACACTGCTTTTCTGCAAAAAGGCAGAGTTTACATTGCTGCTTACGAACACCTCTAATGACAGTCACTCAGACGGTCACTAGAGAGTCCTGGGTCACTGCTGCACCATGTGCAGCACCTAGGTTCAGTGCCTCCAAGCTCTGCATGGAGGCGCTGAATGTTCCTCATAGAGATTGGTTAATGTAATGCATCTCTATGAGGAGATGCAGATTGGTACATTTGCTGCGCATGCACAAAATCCTCCCAATGCTTTCCTAAGGGAAAGCATTGCCTTAGCTGAGATCATAAAGATTAATCATCTCAGCCATGGCAAAACTGGCACGGCGTGGGAAAATGGGAGGAAAGGTGAGTAAAAAAACACCTTCCTCAAGCGATCGGAGGGGGCAGGTACCTAAACGCGCGCACACACACTCTGACAGGCTCATATACTCACACACTCTGACAGGCGCTCATACACACTCTTGACAGGATCTCGCTCACACACACACACACACACACACACACACATACAGACACTCTGACAGGCTCTCTCTCACACACACATACAGATACTGACGAGCTCTCTCACACACACACACACACACACACTCTGACAGGCTTGCTCACTGACAGCACACACACACGCTGACAGGCGCACACACTGACAGGCTCTCTCACAAGCACACACACCCTGTATCTCCTCTCTGCTCCCTCGCGCTGTGTAATGATGCCGGGGCCGGAATGACGTCATATTCCGGCTCCCGGCATCATTACACAACGCGAGGGAGCAGAGAGCAGAGCACCGCTCCCTCGCGTGCTGCCCATAATGCTTCCGCGGGCGGCTGTCGCGCACAGTGCTTCCATGTACCCGCGGGTGGCGTCAAAGCTCCCTCCCACACTTACTAGAGAGCTGGCAAATCCCAGACACCCGGGGGAAATTTCTAGTTGCCGTGGCGATCTGGTGCCTGGGATTTGTCGATCCCTGGCTTATGTTATTCTAAGTATCTGTAATACACTGTATTCACCAATATAGAAATCATAAGGAGCAACCAAATTTGAAATTTCTGCAAGCCTGCTCTACTTTCAACTAAGATGGCAAATATTATAGTGGGCTATCTCATGTTACATTTCGCATTGTTTCTCTCAAGTTATCAAGGAGGAGATGGAGCCATCGCTGCTGTGCACTGAGAAAGAGGAAGAGCCGGAGGGGTTTGATACAGTTACACTTCCAGGACAACCTGAGGACTTGGTTATAGCTGACCCTGGAGAATTGAACATTAATGCTCCTGAAAATTCAACAAGTGGAAGTGGGCAGTGCCAGCTGAATTTGTTGGCAGTTTGCCGGCCTCTTCCTGAGACGACGAGTGGTTGTTACTCTTCATTTGATGGAGAGCCCACACAAACTCAAGGATTTATTTCTGGTGGAGGACAGTACCATCCTGTAAATACAGAGCTGGAGGGACATTTCCCTTCAACAGCTCCTCCTCCACGTCGCTCTGCTCGCTGTGCAGCCTCATGTCGAGTCTCCACATTTGTATATGACGCTGGTGGAGATCGACAGAAGGGTAAGTGCCCACCAGAAAATCCTGAGGAGCCTGTAGCACCTTGCAGGAAGAAGAGTCGGACTCTTTACAGCATTGGTGAGCATGGGACACTGCCTCATAGCCACATTTCTTTTCATTTCTATTACACTCTTTGCATGCGTCTCTTTACTGTCAATGTTTATGCCCTTTCCGCACTCATTTAATCCTATCTTTTTTTTTGTGCTTTGTGGACGAGGTCTTAATTATAAATCACAGTAATAACTACTGACCTGTTTCTCGAGGTAAAGTTTTTATTCTGCTTCTGATTATTTTCTGGTTTCCCTGATTTCAAACAATTTGTGCTGGTAATATACGTAAACACTGTCTCCATGTGCCGGCCTGTCCTGCAGATCAGTTGCATGAGCTGGAGCGTCTGTTTGAAGAAGACCATTATCCGGACAATGAGAAGAGGAGAGAGATTGCGAATATAATTGGTGTTACTCCACAGAGGATAATGGTGACTTTCTGACTTGTTTTTGTGCATTTTCATTCATCACTTGTGTTTTTTTTTCCAAGGATTCACCTTAGCAAACCCTTGTTCACTCCCGAAATGATAATTGTGATCAAATCCAATAATTGCTAAGTAGAGTATTTAGGAATGTAAATGGACATAGATCTCCTGGACTTGACATTTGAACCTGACACGACCCAGCAGTATCTCAGAATCTGCCAATTCCATTACGAAAATTTGCGGGGTTCAGAGTAATTGTGTAGCAGTTAAAAGATCCCAGATTTGGTGGTGGGTTTCACAAAAAGCACAAGATCTGATTGAAATTATTGGGTTCCAAGTTTGGTGAGGATCAGCATAGCTCTGCTCTGTACAAGCAATCAATGCTAAGTTTTACCACCATACTGCTAACTTTCAGACAAGTTAAAAGGTCCCACTTTTTTATTTTTGATTGCCATTCATTTTTATTCTACACAAGGACAAAATTCCTTTACATTTTTTTGTATATGTGATGGCTCCTCCTGAACCACTGAGATTTTCTTCTAGGTCTGGTTCCAAAACCGTCGAGCCAAATGGCGTAAAGTGGAAAAGACCTGCCTGAAGGTTGAAATGAAGCCTATATCCTCTTCTTCAGGGATGTCTCAGCGTGAACTCTCCCATCCGGAGACAGTCGCCCTCGGTGTCACCGCTGCACATGCTACGTATGCAGCCATCCCACCAATGCGGAATGGGTAAGAAAAAAAGTGAAAGTGATAGCCCAAGAAAACTTCTTCCTAACTCCGATTTTGGATTATTCATTGTTCGAATGTAACAGAAAAGGTTGTAATGAAGTACCATGTGCTGTAATCTGTTCAAAGATTTGTGTTTGTAGATTCCTGATTTACCAAACACTCAGAAATCTCAGGTTCCTTGAAATGCTCTTTTATATGTAGTCCCTTTTTTAATGTTATTGTGACTGTTCTAGAACTTTGGGATCACCCTAAATTGATTTGTTTATTGTTCTGTCCATGTTGTTGTTTATTATCGCCTCATCTTCAGCAGTCTTTCTCTCGTTGCTGGGTCTCAGGCCTGTGATGTCATCTCACAACACAACTCCTGTGGTCTCAATGCATCCAATTCAGGTCAGTGAACAGTTATGGGAAACTATCAAGGTATTTCAAATGTAAGGTCAATACAGCCAAACTGGGACAATTCTCTAAATCAGTTGGCCATTTTGGCCTTAGAATTGGCTTTGAATTCGCATGAAATTCTAATTTTAGGGCACTTTTGTGTATAACTTGCTTTGCAGACATATATGAAAATAAATATTATCTAAATTTACACCATTTTTTCCCCAAACAAAAATGTGTTCTTTCTAACATACAGTAGATGTGGCAAATATAGTTAAATTAAAAAAGGTCAAATTCATTGCTTATAGGTATTTCTAAGGACACTGAAGGCATTACTAGCAGTGCAGCTCACTGAAAATGGAAACAGAATGTAAAAATAATGCCCACATACAATAAATTCAGTAAAGGCATATAATTTTAAAATTAAGGTATTTAAAACTCCTTCATCAATATCTGGATCGATAGTGTAATGCTAACAGTGAAATGGTAGAGTGCATTCACCTCACCCCCTCCCTGACTGTAGGAAAGGTATTGTCAGGGAGCCGCGGGCGGCGAGGAGGGGAGGCTGCACGCCACTTGCAGCACTCACCCTCAGTCCATCGCCGCCCGCGGTCTCCTCTCTGCTTACCTGTCGGCGAGCGGCGTCTCCTCTGTGCCGCTTGCCGCCAGCGTCCTCCACGCCCCCCAGCGGCAGCATGTATAACGCTGCACGCTGGGAGGTCCAGGAGTTAAGTAAACGCCGGGGTCACGTGAGTGACCCGGTGTTAAAGAAACAGTACCACAATCACAGTGGGGGGTATAGATATCCCCACGTGTGATTGTTAATTCTGATTGGAAGTTATCCAATCAGAATTAAACCTAGGGTATTTATACTTACCTTTCCTGTCCCTCAGTGCCCTGTTGTGATCTTGTGATACCTGTAGCGTAGTGTTCTCGTCTTGCTCTCTGGTTACTGATTATTTGGCTCGTTATTCCGATTATCCTGTCTTCTCCACTCCTTTGACCTCGGCTTGTTTCTCGTTCTCCCGTTTTCTGGCTCCCTTTACCTGGCTTGTCTCCTGACTATTCTTAGCATGCTTAGCCCAGCCACTCTAAGGTCCGGTACGGCACCTTTTCTGTGAGTGTGTGTGTGTCAGCGTGTTAGGTTCCCCGAATCGTGACAGGTATGACCCATTGAAACTTCCTTTACTGTTTTGAAGCAGGGGATAAGCTGATATTTTCAGCAAAGCTGCATTACATCAGTTGCGTGTGACATCTGGCATAGAATTATGTTTTTCTACAGGCTTGTAATCATAACTAGGGGATAAGTGAGGGGAGTGAGGCTTTATGGACTAAATTTAATTTTGCAAAATACAATGAAAGTAAAAACATTTATACTCTATTTGGCAGTAAAGTCACTTCATTTACTCCTATTTATTTTAAATCTCATACAAACCCTTCTTTTTGGTTTTACACAGTTTGTGCCCTTGGTATTCTGTATAGACGTTATCAAATCCATGTCCCCATATTTGGTTCAAGTAGAATCCCAGAAGCACTCTGAGCCTCTGGCTTTAAGTGGACATCATCCCATCTTATCTTTCCTGGTGTAAAAATACAGAAAATGGGTTGTTTTCCCAAAAATCTGATTACACCCTGGGGAAAGCTGTGTGAATCACCTGCACAGGCTGTCTGATAGCCACCTGCTGTTCCTCAATGCATTCTTTTTGGGCAGCGAATATATATATATATAAAAGACAGGCCTGCCTACTGGGATATCATAGGTTGTTGGCACCAGGGGTGGAGTTAGAAGGACCCCCCCTTCCCCAATGCAGCCTTGAGCATGAGTTCATTGAGGTAAGTGGCTATTTGTTCTATGAATGTAACCCACAGTGTCCTGCCTCCGTCCCCTTTCCTCTGTGCCTGTTTCAGGCTGTAGCCATTTTACTCTGCTGCCATTATTGGTGCCCAAACACTGCCATCGTCTCCCTGGCTCACTCTAGCACCCCTCCCCGCCCCCGTTTGGTCATACTATGTGGAGATCTTGTGAAGGAACACTATAGCGTTAGGAATATAAACCTGTATTCCTAATGCTATTGTGTCTCTGTCTCTAGTTTTCTAGGTCCCCCACCACCCATTATAACTTACCTCTTTCCAGCGCCAAGGTCTCTGCCTACCACAACGTTGCATGCACAGCAAAGACTGTTACTAGAGGTACATTTTAACCCTGCAATATAAATATTGCAATTTCTCAGAAAATGCTGTTTTTTGTTTTTTTTTCATTGCATGGTTAGGCAGACAGTGCCACTACACCCAGAACACTTCATTAAGATGAAGTAGTCTGCCTATAGTGTCCCTTTAACCATCGAGTGCCTGCCTTGATATGGTTAAAAAGTGCCCTCTTTAGCTGTATGAATCAGTCTGTTAATGGCAATTCTTCTAATGTGAAAACCGCTCTGTTGTTATTATTATTATTGCCATTTATATGGCTCCAACAGATTCCTGGGCCTTTTTCACTATTATAAGAGGGGGGGATTTAACTACAAATAGGACAATTACAAGAAAACATAAAGGAACGATAGGTTAAAAAGGGACCCTGCTCAAACAAGCTTACAGTCTATAGGAGGTGGGGTGTAACACACAATAGGACAGGGAATAGCAGTCAAAATAGGTGGGAGTCAAGCAGAGCTGGAGGAGAGAGTAGAGTGCTGCCCTTTAGGAGAGAGCAAGAGACAGGTATGTAAGGTAGAGGTTAGTCTGGGAGGCCATAAGCTTTCCTAAAAAGATGGGTTGTAAGGCAATTGTTGCAGCTTGCAGTCGTTATCGCCTTTAGATACATGCTTATATTGTGGGTGTTATTTGATGCCTCTTCTGTTTTTGATTTTTCTTTTAAGCGGAGTACAATAGCTAGTATTAGTTCGATTTGTCTTACAATTGTGAATCTCAGTCCTTTTTCTCCATGAAACTGTAGATTGCACGATTAGGTTTGAAATTACTGAATATTACAAAAAGTTTGAAAATGAAAAATATTGAAACCAATATTTTAACAATGTGTCGCTTTATATCAGCGGAATGAAGCTATACTAACTTTGGATAAGAGGCCATTAACGGAGAATTTTTAAAGGGACACCATAGGCACTGTATCTGCTTCATCTCATTAAACTGGTTATAGTGTCTGGAGTCCCCTGGTACCATCATTTCTTTCAGCATTAAACAGTTTTTAATGTTTTTATGTTTTAATGCTAAACAAGAGTCCCCGGCAGTCCATCCCATCTGTGCAGCTTTGGCTAATAAGGAAGTATTAGCCTGAGCAGCAATGGGCAGCTGTGATTGGCTGAGAGTGTCAGGTGACTGCTTTCAGCCTGTCAGAGCTCCAACTGACGGTATGAATGGGTATGACAACAAATGTGTAATCTCTGCCTTAGCTACACATACAGAAGGGGCTGTACTGTAGGTGGCCAGGGACTCTTATGTTGTGGCATACTGCATGAACATGGTGCAACACTGAGTGGAGGGACAGTGCCAGGGCACTCCAGGCACTATAACCAATTCAAAGAGATGAAATGGTTATAGTGACTACAGTGTCCCTTTAAAATCCGGATTGGGTTCAGCAGCTTCTAACTATTGGATTTAGAATGTGATAAAGTATTTTACAATCATAAATAAGGATAAATTGCCACAATTTCAGTAATGTGTTTTAATGTGATTACCGTCTTATTTCTCTGTTCTCAGGATTGGGTTCCTCTGGGGAAATGTGCCTCCCTCCATCCCATGAATATCCCCCCACATTTTCCAGCCCCCCACCTCTGCGCCGCGTCGGTCTGCCAATGTCCATGACCTTTAACCCTGGCACTTATATGGTCCCATTGATGCTGGATACACCAGAGAGTACTTGCACACCTTCATCCTCTGATGGAGACGTGTTTACCTATCAGGAGTAAGTGACCATCTCTTTAACCTTACCAAGTCTCAACACTAACATAGGCCTTAGGGATATATGAAAGCTTTCCTGGTTCGGAGGAGGATATCTGGCTAATCCTGCAGGAAAAGCTGGATGCAGGAGAAT